GCCAGGAGAGTCCGCGCCCTGGTCTCCCATTCAGAGGGTGCCAATCACACGCTGCTGCGCTTCTCGGCTGGAGATGTCGTTGAGGTGCTGGTGCCCGAAGCTCAGAACGGCTGGCTCTATGGCAAGCTGGAGGGCTCGTCCGCGTGAGTGTGGAGCCCCAGGGTCTACGCTCCACCAAGGTTTCCAGGCCTCCCTGTCCCCTTCTCCAATCCTCACCCCATCTCCGTCTCCTTGGTTGTCCTTGGGGCTGAGAAGAATCAAGTAAGAGCCTTGGAGAAAGGGACAGATGGGATGGGGCAGCGAGTAGAGGGACTCGGCAAAACCCCACTGACTCCATGCCTTCTGTGCATCCCTCTGCGCCCTCCTGTGCTGGAGCTGAGATCGCTGCACAGCTCACAGCCCCGAAGAACTCAAACTGGGCTGGCTGTTCTGCACCTTAGAGTGGAGGAGGGAGAGCTAGTCACCCCTGAGTCTCCACACAAATGGGACTGGTGGCCCTCTAGGGAGTGTAAGGGGCTCTGGTCTCTGCAAGAAGGGACAGGGTGTGGTTCAGTCTGTGACTCTCCCAGGGCTACCAGGAAGATGTAGATAGCAGTCAATGCGTGAACCCAGAAGGGCCAAGAGGTGACAGCTGGTAGCACCCCCACAGAAGACTGGGTGGTGGTGGTGAATGATGGACAGGTAGTAGATGGGGTTGTGTGGGGTCCAGGTAGACGTATGTAGGAGTAGAAGACAGATAAGGGAACCCCGGTTGTGGGGACAGAGTAGGATGTGGGTGTGAGCACCTGTATGTGTTGAGGGAGGATTGATTGGACTGATGGGTGACCAGTGGCTACAGAGGTGGAGGCCCATGGGCGGCTGCCCAGGTGAGTTATGGGTGGGTGAGCCGGGGTGAGGGCTGCGGGAGGTAATGTGACGTGTAGTTAGTGTTGGAAGCTGATGGATCAGTGTGCTCTGTGGACCAGGAGCAAAGGGCATTGACAGCCTGAACTGTAGGTATGCAGCTGCAGCCATGCAGACACATCACACCACAGATGGCTGGCAGAGCCCTGACACAGAGCCTGCTAGGTACAACTGTCCTCCTGTCTGCAGGGTGGAGGTCAGGGAAAGCGTCTCCTCACTGGGCATGGATTGTTATGTCAGTCACTTTTGGGGAACAATCTCCCAGCATCTTTTGCCCAACCCCCCTGTGAGCTTTCTGAAGGATTAAGGGGTACCTAACCTAGTGGCTGGGATGCTCATAACTGTGCCACTTACTAGCCTAGGCCAACTCCAAACTGGTGCTGAACACTGTGAAATGGAGACATGGCCAGAGGGCCTGAGGCTGAGGGCCATCACTACATGTCCCTGAACAGCCTCAGCCCCTGATGGGACATGAGGTTAAGTGACACAGGCTCTATTAAGCATTAACTACCAGGAAAGCCATGTTGGTGGAGTGAGGCAGGTCACTGTCTGTACTGTCTTACTAGGCCACACTCAAGGGGCCATTGATGTCCGCCCTACAGGAGTGGCTGGTTCCCTGAGGCCTATGTGAAACCTTTGGAGGAGATGCCAATGAACCCCATGAATCCTGTGACTCCCATGAATTCCATGGCCCCCATGAGCCCAATGAATGAACTGCCTTCCAGGTACCTTAGTTGGGGGTTGGGGCCCCGAGGGTGCTGCTGTCCCTCCCTCTAGGAAGCATCCATGGAATAATCTGTCCTCTTCAGCCTCTTGAGAACCGTGGCCCAGTTTCCCACCTCCTAGTGAAGGCTGCTGTGCAGTTTTCTCTGCCTCCTGTAAGGGCTCCTTCACAGTTATCCCCCAGCCTCAAGCCCAGAAGGTGGGAGGGGCCACCAGAACTTCCTGCTTCCTCTGACTCAGGTCCTACCCGCTCCGGGGCAGCCAGAGCCTTGATGACCTCTTGGACAGGCCAGGCAACCCTGCAGCCTCATCAGACTACTGGGATAGCCAGTCTCACTCCCGGAACCCCAGCCGTGCCCCCAGCCCAGCACCCACACCCTTGCCCAGCAGCAGGCAGAGCAGTGTGGACAGCATGGGGACAGCCACCGATGTCAAGGTCAGCCCCACCTGTCCCCAGCCTGGCCAGACCTATGGGGTAGCCCAGCAGGGGAGACCTTGGCCATTCTTTGTGGAATGGGAGTTGGTGGTGGAGGAGAAGGAGTGGGCTGGGGTCATGGGGTCACTAGCCTTACCTTGCAGGGACAGTCAGCCCCAGGCCATGGCACTGTGCAAAGTCTGGAGCTTTCTCTGAAACCAGACTTTGGGCTGCACTGTGTCTTCAAATCTGGCCCTTCAGGGCCTCTACCTCCCAGTCCTGTGCTCTCCTGGGGTGAGTGGTGGGACCCCATCTTCCCTTCGCCCCTGAACCTGCCCTCCCTTCATACAGAAACTTATGTCCTGGGAACACCAACCCCCAGAGCTCTTTCCACGGTGAGTCCCAGTGGGCAGGAAGCCAGATGGGAGCAGGTGACTCAAAACAGGCAGGGGGGGGGGGGAAGAAGCAGATGCTTGGCCAGCTGCCTGGCCATTCTCCCTAGACACACAGCCAGGGAGGGATCTGCTCCCCTTACCCTACTATCCCCCACAGGGGAACAAATCCCTTTGCCACTGTGAAGCTGCGTCCTACTGTCACCAACGACCGCTCAGCACCCCTCATCCGCTGAGGCGATGTCCTGCACCAGGGCCTGAAGTGGCCCAGCACACTTGCCCAGGGTTCTTCCAGCCGACTGCAGCAGCAGTGGACCCACGATGCCAGGCACTCATACCCGGGGGACCATCCTTACCCCTCTGCCCAAAGTCCAGGAGCTCCCTGAGGGCTGGGCCTGCAACTCAGAGCAGCTTGTTGCTCTCAGGGACCCGGAGCCTCTCCAGGATCCAGCCTGTTGCCTCCTGGCTTCTTCCCACCTGTGCCCCAAAGGCAAATGCCTTCTCTTCCACCCCTGTCCCAGATGCAACCCTATTTAACTTTTGTAAATGATAAAAAATAAAGAAAGTGAATCCAGCATGGGACTGACTCAGGCCCCCCTGAATATGGGTCTCAGCCAGAAGGACTAAGCAGTCTAAGGGACCTCAGACAGTGGAGCCAGGATGTATTCCTGGTACACAAAAGTACTTTGTGAACACATCCCCCATGGAGGGATAACTGCCTTAACCTAGAGACAGGAGAGAAGGCCTAGTCCCTACTTCACATGACCTGTCAGATCTACATGACCCCACCTGGATGGGGCCCTACATGTGGAATTGGGGTGGGGGGATGGGAGGGGAGGGTGGTCAGGGTGTGAGGGGGCAGAAAGGGTAAGAGGGAGGGAGGGGGAACTGGGATCGGCATGTAAAATGAAAAATAATAATAAAAAATAAAGTGGGCACAGTGGCAGTGAAGCTGTCTGATTTGGGGATAGGGTAAGGCCTTGGAGGTGGGGATCCTCTAGGGTGAACGGAGTCTCAGGTCTGTCTCCCCTCCAGCCCCTCAGGACTCTGTTTTTTTTGGTTTTAAGTCTTGAGGGCTGCACTAAAGGCTCTCACCTTCACCTCCCCCCCAACACACACACACATCTACTAATGGCCTTCGCAAAGAATGGTGCCAGTTCCCTTTAGCTGGGACACAGCCCCCTTTGTTCCAGCCACCCCACCCCCACCCCACTCCCCTACCCCCACCCCTCACCCCCCCCCCTCACACACAGCCAAGCTCAGGGCTGGATTAGCCTTATCCAAGGGAAGCTAGGAGCCCCTCCTGGAATGTGGCCTGGGGCTGGAGTGGGAGCAATAGCACACAGAAGTGACTTGACAGGCTGGGTCTCTCCAGGGTGCCACTGCGCTCCCCCAGGCCCAGAGCACCACACACACAAGGCAGGGCCTGTGCTCCTATCCGAAGTACCCAGGTGGTGAGGGGAGGGTCTCTTTGCCCTTTGTCCCGTCAGCCCCGAAGGTTCAGGGTCACTTTTGCTCAACTCCCTTACTGGTGAAAGCCTCTTAGTGGGGTGGGATGAGGGGCGCTAAGCTGCAGGCCTGGGGAAGGGGTTGAGTCAGCAGGGGTGCAGCCACAGTTGCCAAGGCTGCTGGGATCTATATCTGCCAGACTCAGGGAGCTGGAGGCAGCCCCTCAGGACATGTGAGCCTGGACCCTAAATCCAGAGTCAAGTCCAGGTGAGTTGTATGGGGAGGGCTGCCAGGGGCCAGTTTCCTGTCCCTGTGTTCATAGACGTGGGGGTGTGTGGGGGGGGAGGCATGGAAAGTCAGAGCCTGGAACTGGGGGAGGACAGAGTCCTGGGTGTCCCTGGGGAGAGGTCCTGGACAGAGAGCACAGGGCCTTTATGGCTTCCCTGGTCCCTCACTCCTCACCTGTGGTGGGTACAGTAGGACTTTGGAAACCCTGCCTATGGATGGAGAGCCTAGATTATGAACTGCTGGGGCTCAGGTCTCTTTTCCAGAGCTCCTCCTCTTCCCCAAGGTTTCCAGCTGGTGGGAAAACTGAGGCTCAGCTGGGAGAGGAGACTTGTCCAAGTTACAGGCAAACTCCTTCCAGAACTGGCACAAGCTGGACCAGAGGCTGCTGAGACGAGGCCAGTATTTCCTGCTGTTTTAATCATTCCCTGTCACTGAGAAAAGTTAGGAACAAGTAGAGGGCCACCACAGCTGCCATCCACCCCACTGGGTGATTTGCTCATTTGTCCACAAACCTATATGTACTCATAGCAGATACTGACAGTTCTCCTACACACACACACACACACACACACACACACACACACACACACACACACCGCTCGGGGCCCACAGTGGCTGCTGGTCTCTGGCACTCAACGCACCCCTCTTCCCCTGTCATTACTAGGTCTCAGGAGGAAAGCAGTCCTAGAGAGGAATCCTTGAAGTCAAGTCTCCATTCACCCTTTGCAGGAAGGTGGGAAGACCTGGGGCCTTCCTCCCTTGCTGGATCTATAAACCTGAAAGGGCTCAGTGGACAGCCTGGGGCTGCTTCTCCTTGCAGGTCTCAATTCACTCCTCTACAGCACCTACCACTGCCTTTTGTCCCCCTCTTCCCCAGCAGAGGAAGAGGCAATGGGCACTGGTGGCCAGCGTCGGGGTGCAGGCCCCCCAGATGGTGGCTGGGGCTGGGTCGTGCTGGGTGCCTGCTTCGTGATCACCGGCTTCGCCTACGGCTTCCCCAAGGCTGTGAGCGTCTTCTTCGGAGAGCTCAAGCATGACTTTGGAGCAGGTTACAGCCACACAGCTTGGGTGTCCTCCATCATGCTGGCCATGCTCTATGGCTCAGGTCAGCGCTCCTCCCAGCACCCCCTGGGGTCCAGCATCTGGGGTAGGGGATCTAGAGCCTCAGCCCTAGAAAAGAGCTGGTAGGACACATAGATGGAAATAGAAACCCCCTCCTACTGCTGGCCTGGAGGGATTTCCTGCCAGCAAATCTACACTGGGCTACATTAACCTGGAGAAGCATTCCAGCTCCCCCCAGCCCTGATGCTGGAGTTTAGAGAGGGTGGGAGCCTTCAGGAGGATGGCAATCTGGTGGGATACAGAGATGAAGAGGGGAAGCCATCCTTCCTATTTTGGTTCTGGGCTCTCAAGAGGGTAAGGGATAGGTGGCTACCAGAGGATGGACGGATGGACAGACAGACAGACAGACACACACACCATCCTGTCTGCCTGTTAAGCTGTGTGACATCAACCAAACGCTGCCCTCTTTGTCTCTGAAGGAGCTGGGGGAAGGGGGAGGGGAGTATATACTTCTTTCAGACCTCAGAGGTACAAAGCAAGGCCTGGCATATTTTCTGGAGGGAAGATTGGTCTAACCTGGGCAGTGACCCTGCTCTGCCCACAGGCCCCTTATCCAGCATCCTCGTGACGCGGTTTGGCTGCCGTCCGGTGATGCTGGCTGGTGGGCTCCTGGCTTCTGCGGGCATGATCCTGGCTTCCTTTGCCTCACGCCTCCTGGAGCTGTACCTGACAGCTGGAGTGCTCACAGGTGAGGGCATCTAGTTTCTACCCTGCAGGGATGTGGGTGTTGTAACCCACATGTGGGTGCGGGTCTGGAGTCCCTGCTGCAAGTCTTTCAGTTCCCAGCTTTCCCCAAAGGGCACCCCCAGCTCCCCGAATTACTTGGCTCACCATCCCGGGTTCGAACTTATCCTCCCGGTCCTGGCTCAGCCTGGCCCTGCCGCTGAGGCCATAAGGGGCACCCCAGCCACATCGCCTCGCCTGCAGGCCTGGGCCTGGCCCTAAACTTCCAGCCATCGCTCATTATGCTGGGGCTCTACTTCGATCGGCGACGGCCCCTGGCCAACGGACTGGCAGCGGCAGGCAGCCCGGTGTTCCTGTCCACACTGTCGCCGCTCGGCCAGCTGCTGGGGGAGCGCTTCGGCTGGCGCGGTGGCTTCCTGCTATTCGGTGGCCTCCTGCTACACTGCTGCGCCTGCGGGGCCGTCATGCGGCCCCCACCAGGGCCCTCGCCTCCACCACGCCCAGACCCCGCGGAGGACCGCGCGCCCTCCGGTGGCCAGGCTCGCCGCCGCCTGCTGGACGTGGCGGTGTGCACCGACCGCGCCTTCGTGGTGTACGTGGTCACCAAGTTCCTGATGGCGCTTGGGCTCTTCGTGCCTCCCATCCTGCTGGTGAACTACGCCAAGGATGCAGGTGTGCCTGACGCAGAGGCCGCCTTCTTGTTGTCCATCGTGGGCTTTGTGGACATCGTGGCTCGGCCGGCGTGCGGTGCCCTGGCGGGCCTGGCACGCCTGCGACCCCACGTCCCCTATCTCTTCAGTCTGGCCCTGCTGGCCAACGGGCTCACAGACCTGATCAGCGCGCGTGCACGCTCCTATGGTACCCTCGTGACTTTCTGCATCGCCTTCGGCCTCTCCTATGGCATGGTGGGCGCACTGCAGTTCGAGGTGCTCATGGCGACCGTGGGTGCACCCCGCTTCCCCAGTGCCCTGGGCCTGGTACTGCTCGTGGAGGCTGTGGCAGTGCTCATAGGACCGCCCTCTGCCGGTGCGCACCGTAGAAGGGTGGCTAAACAAGGGATGTAAGGGAAGCCCTTTAGCTAGAACTTTCAGGAATGAGAAGGCAGCCCTCCTTGCTGGAAAGCCTGTTTGGTGGACTCCCTCCACGACCAGGGAACTCCTCCACCAATCAGGGACCACCCCAGGGGGTGAGGATGGAAAAGCCAGAGGTCAGTCTCAAGAAACAATACACACACAAATAATCATCTAGCCAGCTGGCTAGATGTCTTGGGCATGACACACATGACCGAATGTGTGTGGACTTTAGCCCCCCAGCCAGTAAGGCAGAATGGAACCAGCCCTGGCTAGGAACAGAGAAGGGGTGCTCAGATGACAGGTGGAGAGGAAGGTTGTTGATGACCTTTTCTGCCAAGTCCTCTCTCTCTGCTCATCCCTGTGTAGTTCTGCAGGTGAGGACACAGTGTAAAAGGGCTGGGGGCGTTGCCTGGGGAAATATCACTGAACAAGTGAGGCCTAAGCTAAGATGGAATCGGTGTAGACAGGGACACTGAGACCTTCCTGAGCTGTCTGACTATACTGAGAAAGCAGGGAGCCAGCCTTAAGTGAAAAGACCACAGGCTTCAGGAGTGAATAGTAGATGATGAAGCCCAGGCTGCAACAGAGACAACCAGATGGCAGAGTGTCCAAGCAAGCTCACTCTGCCTACTTGACCCAGCAAAAAGGCAAAGTCCCTGAACCAATGTGTGGGTACCCTCTCTCAAGTCCACCACCCCAAAAGCCTCAAGGCTGGCCCACCCAGAAGCCCAGGGAGCACCTGCTGTTAGGTGGATAGGGAAAGAATGCAGGCTCCATGATAAAATGAAGGGCACTCCAAAGCTGAGTATGGCCAGAGAAGTGAGGGACTGAGACTTTGGATAGAGTGAAGATATAGTCATCAGGAAACTTCCTGAAGATCACAGCCTTGTGTGGACACAGGAATACTCTTAAGAGTGAAACCTGTGGATGAACAGCCCAGTGGGGACTAGGATGTAGCTGTGGCAGCATGTGTGCCTAGCATGTGTGACACCCTGTGTTCAGTGCCCCATAACAAGAACTAGCCCCCCCCATACAGAGATACTGTGCCCAGGAAAGGAACCTGGGCAATGAAAGGATATGAGGCCTTTTCTAGAGCACAGGCAGAGGTGCCTAACCAGCTCTGTTTGGATGGCTTATAGCTCCCGATGAGGATGCTGAACCAAATTCCTATAGACCAGATTATGCAGAAAGAGTTGGGGAGCCCTTAGTCCTAGCCAGGGCTAAGCAGGGTCCAGTCCAACGGCTATCTTCACACCCACAAGCAGGCCAATACACCTGTAGGCTCTCTCTGATGTGGAGGAGGAAACCTTGTATACTATAAAAGCATCACCTCCTCAGAAGCATTAGAAAGGGTGGGGGTTGGTGACATTTGGGACCTCCCAAGAAAGGATCCATGTGGAGTTTTGCATGTAATCAGGAATAAAGATAGGGCAAATGTGTGTCACCAGTAAGCCCCATTGAATAAGTGGAGGGGACCATGACAGGTTGTTAACCGCCCACCCCCCACCCCCAGGCCGCCTGGTGGATGTCCTGAAGAACTATGAGATCATCTTCTACCTTGCTGGCTCTGAGGTGGCTTTGGCAGGAGTCTTCATGGCAGTTGCTACCTACTGTTGCCTGCGCTGCTCTGAGGACACCCCATCAGGTCCAGCTGCTGAGGGAGGAGCCAGTGATTCTGAGGATGTGGAGGCTGAGAGGGACTCTGAGCCAATGCCTGCCAGCACTGAGGAGCCTGGCAGTCTTGAGGCTTTGGAGATGCTAAGCCCCCGGGCGGGGTCCCCAGGACCAGAACCAGAGGTGGAGGCAGAGCCTGGGCTGGGTCATGATTCTGTGTAGACGTCAGGCAGGTGGCCAGTGGGCCTGGTATATGGGGAGGCAGCCTGGGGTGGTCCCTGGGGGTACCCCATGTGCCAGGCTGTTTGTTCCCAGTGAAGCTACTGTGGACTGACAAGTACACAAGATAAAAGCCTACCGAAAGACACACTCTGCTCCTGTACCTCTGCCAGGGCTTGGGACACCTGAACTAAGAGAGGGGTAAGAAGAGCCATTGGAGTTCAATAAGAATGGTGGGGGAAACCCACTAGAGACCTAGGGGCTGGTGGGGATGCTATAGGCTGAAGCACGCCTGGCCGCCATCTGGATGAGAAATACATCGGCCAAGGTCAAGGTCAGGAGTGAAGACCTATCCTGGGTTGTCTTCATGTATAGATGTCAGAAGTCAATTCCAGAGGGCATGGGAGCCAGGTGGCCAACAGCAAAACCTTGGGGACTCTTGAGGTGTGTGTGTCCCCTCACTGTGTGTGTCTTCAGAGATGCAGTTTAACAGACAGCTTTGCTGAGCCCCATGTGGATGGATGCTAACAGGCTATCGCCCTCCAGCCTGAGAATCACACTTCCCGCAGGACCTGCAGAACTCAAAGCTACCAAGCAAGGGTGCTTTTCCATTTTGCCAACTTTGCACATTCCTTGCCTGTTCTGCTCTCAAGATGGCCATATCCTGTCCTAATGGGCATTTCAGTGTGAAAAGGTTGCAGGTGTGTGCCACGCCCAGCCAGGCAAAGCAGCAGGGAGACTACTGCCTAAGGGTGGCAGCACCTCCCTTGTGTCCCCTGGGCCCTGAACTGAACAGGCGCTCCTGGAGTAGTCTTGCCAGCCTTTTGTCACCTGATCAGTGTCTGTTCTGCCCCCTTGCCCAAACAAAGGTTTACTTCACAACCAGGTATACAGAAAGGGTTGAAGGGAGTGCTCAATGATGCTGGAAGCAGCGGGAGCGGGTGACGGTCAAGGCTTTGGGACCTGTAGACTCAAGCTCAGCTCCACTGTTCTCAGGTATGATCCTGAGCCTTTTGACCTCAGATGCTATGGGAACAAGAAAGCTGCTCCTGTAAATGCTGTGAGAGATGAGTGGTGGACATAGAGAGAACTGCCTAAGCCTGTGTCCCACCCTCCCTCATGACCCAGGAGGCAGCTGATATCTGGTTGCAGAGGAGGGTCTGAGCCATTTGCAAGGAGCCCATCCATTCTGTCTGGGTTTCTGTTTATTCAATACAGGCCCAGCATCCAGCCCTTGAGGCTAAGCCAGGAACAAATAAATATAGGCTGCCAAGGTGTGCATGTGGACTCGGGGGCCAGCCTGGTATGCTGGCCCCAGCCTCGGATGTCCACCCGGCTCCCATTCCCTGCAGGCTTGGCACCACCGAGGTACTCACAGGACAGGTCCTGTGCTCTGCCTGTTCCAGCCCCTCCTCTTTTCTGTCCAAGGCCCAGCTCTCCCTCCAGCTGGGAGGTGGGAATGAAGGACGGGGATGCCAGTCCAGGTCCCAGGCTGCAGCCTGGGTTCACTGTGCGAGGACAGAGGAGCAGGGAGGCAGGCGCCCCGAGCCAGCAGGCCTTTATGCGCCACTACACGCCTTCACTGTCCTACAGTGGCCCCGCCCCGTTCCCGATGCGGTCCTCCCGCTGCCCTGCCCCCCAGGTCCACTTGAGGGGGCACTCAGGAGTCACACCAGCTTCCGCCCTTGTCCATGGGCCCAGCAGCCCCGCGTGCATCCTTGGACATTTCCCTAGCTGCCCCATCCTCCTCATCCTCGTCCTCATCCTCTCCATCAGTGAAGCCACCCTGGTTAGGGCCATAGGCTAGAGTGGTGTGTGCCAGGTCCACCTCAATGGGGAAGACGTCAGCATCCCGCAGCACCGCATAGCAGTCATTGTAGTACTTGGACATGGTAGACACGAAGCGCTGCAGCTGGAACACGATGTCCTGGACTGGGGCAGGAGGTGGGCAGACAGGCCCAGTGGTACGGGTGCCTCTAAGGGAAGACCTGGAGCTGGCCTGTCCTTCCCACTGGGACACTTCCTGAGCCCCAGGCCTAAGGAAGGATGGAAAGGGGCCCTGCCTAGTTGGCCACCTAGTCCTCTAAACTCCGAGCTCAGGAAACAGAGAAGGCTGTCTGAGTGAATGGATCACCAACCCAAGCCCTGGCCCCAACCCAGCCAGGTTCTGGGTGGACTCCTGCCAGGGCCTGGCCCTGAGGCCCTTGGGAGACTACCCTCTCTAGGCCTTACCTCTGATCTAGGGAGAGAATGGCACCCACCCTGGGGCTAAGTGCCAAGAAAGGACCAATTGGGGTAGTGCACAGGGGCACTACAGGCTTCCAGAGACCCCCCTCACCATGCTTCTGGTCCAGCAGCTCCATCTTCTCTAGCACATCCTTGCGCATCTGGGAGAAGCGGGCTCGAGCCTCCTGACGGCAGCGCAGGATCAGGCGGTACTCATAGTTGCCTGTGCTCACTCGGTATAAGGGCTCTCCTAGGGCCTGGGGCAGGCAAGCTTATCAGCTCTCCTGGGTTGACCTGGGCCTCCCAGTACAGATGGGGCTGGAAAGATGCAGGGCTGGCCCAGCTCACAGCTGTACCACAATGGGCTTTCAGATGCCAATGACAGACAGAAGCTCACAACAGTAACTTTGGAGGAAGAAAATCAACCACAGAAACATGAACACAGCTCACAATAAATAAATAAATATTGGCCAAAAGATGGACCCTGATTGTAAACAAATCACAAATTAGAAACAAAAACCACAACAAAGAACAACCAGGGGCTGGAGAATGGCTCAGTGGTTAGAGCACTCATTCTTGCAGAGGCCTGGGTTGTTATCAGCACCCACATGATTGCTCACAACTGTTTGTAATTTTAGTTCCAACTCCCTCTTCTGACCTCCACAGGCATCAGCCATGCAAATGAACCCCCCCCCCCCACACACACGTAAAAACAAAAAACAACTTTTTTTTTTTTTTTTTTAAATCAAAGCATAGCTCAAAACTGAAATCAGCTATTTCCTGCAGGAGCCTCACAAACTTGGGATACCTGTCTAGAGCATGCCTGGGGAGTCAGTCACTTCATGGCAAACGAGCTGGTACTCCAATCCAGAGGAGCTGGTACAATGGGCTGACAACCCCAAACTAAGACCCTAGGATGCCTAACATACCTAAAACCTCTGGTGGACCCAAGGCCTTCTGAAGGCTAAGTATGGGCACCCCAAGCCTTCCTCATACCAGCCTGGGTCCCTTTGGTACTCACGATGCAGCTGTATTCCTCGTCGTCCATCTCCTTTACCTTTAGACAGTAGGACTGTGTGGGAATGGATGAGGCCAGAAGTCAGTGGCCAAGCTTCCTGGATGCCCATACTTATGACTCCAGCTCCCCCGCCCTGTCTCCCTATGCCCTCAGGTCACCAGGGAACATGGAGACACAAGTGAGCAGTGGTCATACAGGCCACCTAGGTCTGGGCCACCTAGGAAAGGCTGGAAGCAGGCACAGACAGAAGCCCAGGAGAGGGGCAGCAGCCGGGTGAGGAACTCCTCTGGGAGGGTGCAATCCCAAAGCAACCAAATTCAGGTCTAAGGGAGATGCTCTGGGGCTGTAGGATGTGCTCAGTGGTACAGCACCTGCCTAGCATGCATAAGGCCTGGGGCTCTATCTGCAGAAAAGCAGATCCAAAAGGCACTGTGTGCGGTGGTGCTGGCGAAGCCAAAGAACTTGGGAGCTCCTTGAAGACAAGTGCACAGGCCTAGTAAAGGTGCAAGTGCCACAGCCAGAAGCCTGATGCCTTAACATCATTTTCTGAGCTTTTTTGACAATCATACTACCATTTAGGATTCCAAATGTCCTTTGAAGTATCCCAGACCTAGTCTAAGCTGTTGCTAAAGGTGACAAGTTCCAAGGAGTAGACATGATATAGAATGAGAGCTCTCCTGCTCACTAGGCTCTAGGTATCTCTGAGTTCCCTGGTGTGGGAATGCAGAGTCTAGGCTGCTTCTGATTAGTCAGGCCTTTAACCCACACTCCTGACCCAACAGAGGTCTGCCCTGCCAGCCCTGTCATGGCTGCTTATCTCAGGGCTGGCTTCCAGGGTGGGCTCACCCAGCTGGCCAGCACTGCAGGGCACTCACCAGGTACTCGAACTTCACATCCAGGTATTTCTTGATGGTGAGGCGCGTATCAGGGATGGCTTTATTGAGGTACGTGTTCAGGTCTGTCAGCATCTACAAGGTTGGGTGACAAATGGCACACATGTGTCAACCCTTCCAGTGGACTCAGAAATCTGACAAAGGGCATGTGTTAAGGTTAGAAGACTATGTCAGGCCAAGGGCACATTGTGACCCAGCAGAGTCTTGAGGTCAACAGAGACTCAGGGAGGCAGAGTGACTAATGGCTGGCTAGCCATAGAGGTGACCAAGTTAGTGTCTGCATCTGGCATCTGACTCCAGCCCAGAAACCCCGCTGTGCTAAGCTGTCCCTCCTGCTCTGGCCAGTGGGACATGCTGCACTCTGAGGGACCCACCGGTTTGATGGTTTTCAGTAGCCGAATGCCAAACTTCTCAATGCTGCGGTGTGCATCAGCAAACTTCACGAAGGCCTCACTTGCTGCTGGCTGTGGCTCCCGTACCCCAATCACAGAGAACACGTCCCCAAAGGCTGCATGACAAGTTTGCCTTGAAGCCTCCTTTTGACCCCCTAATGGAGAAGCCAGGGGCTTGCCGGGCAACAGGACAGGGGCCTGATGAGCAGAAAGCTAAGGTCTGCTCGAAGGGTCTACATCCGAAGGAGGTACATCTTCAAGAGGCCCAAACCATACTTTCAAGGAGCTGAATCCTCATTCTACATTTAGGCTCCGGGGGGACTAGCTTTTGTTTCCCCAAGTGCCCAGACAAAAGGCTAAGTGAAAATCTACAGTGGTCAAGCTAGGCAAGAACAGAGTATCAGACTGACTCTGCACCCCTAAGTTCAAATGCCAGGCTCTGCCACCACTTCCTGCCTAGGCTTCCTTTCCTGG